GGGCCTCTCATTAGGGCAGGGAGGGTCTGGCATCGAGGAAGGTGGGTGGGACAAATGTTTCAGCTTTCTTATTTTTTCTTCTTTGTCTGCAGGGGAGGAGGAGAAGAGGGCAGCTCCTTGCTGTCACCCTACACAGCATTCAGGGATAGGGGATGGTCACTTGATGACATCTTAGAGACCCCCATGTGGGGAAGAGCGTTGCTAGGGCATTACTTGAATGGGTTTGATAATTGTGCGAAGTTGGTTTTGTTGTTCCAGGGTTGAGAAAATCTTTCCAAGGTCTACTGACTGACAAAGTCCATCTCAGTGCATCCACACACTCAGAAACATGCTGCAAACCTTGGCCAGAAGAACTGTCCAACCTGTCTGCTTTCCATCCTCTGACGAGGCAGCTGACATCTGCTGGATGAGCTGGCCGTCATGTCCCTCATGTGCATCTGGGCATGCTCTCTGCTACACAGGCATCAGCAACTGAGGAGGCCTGGTCCTGATACATGCACTCCAGGGTCAGACCACACACCCTGTGATTTTCCTTGTTGCCAGAATCTGAGTCCAGTGGTCTAGCTGGAGAATCTCCCAAGAAATTTCATCTGGAGTGACCTCAGACGTCACTGTTCTGTGCACCAGCCAGTTTAGGGTCAGGTTCGGTCCGTCACCTGCACCAGCCAACACATCTGGTGGGTGCAGCTGCTTGCTCAGTTCCGTCCCATTCCTGTACCTCACGAAAACCAATGGGTACTGCAGCTCAACTACATTATTTTTGTACTTCTACCTGCTTTCACCCTTATAAAGTCTCTTCCTCCATTTCATTCTTATCTTCTCTAACTTCTTTTTCCTATATTTCCTCCCAACAATCCCACCAGTAAAGAGTTACTGGACTCTTCCCTACTCTAGCGCAATCTCTCTGAAGGTGATCTCATCCTTTTCTCCCAATCCTAACTATCACTTTTATGTAAATGAGGCAACATCAATGTTTTCCTCTATTCCCAACTGGCTGTAGCACCACATTTTCCACCATTGTGCTTTTCTGACTGGCTCTACGAAAGCTCAAAATCAGCTTCTCAAGAAGTACACTTACCAGTTTTACCTCCTAGGACAACTCTTTGGCCTAACATCCTCTCCTTTTAATGTTTCTTTATTTTCTAAAAGATGTATTTATTTTTATTGGAGCGGCAGATTTACAGAGAGAAGGAGAGACAAAGATCTTCCATCTGCTGGTTCATTCCCCAAGTAGCCACAACGGCCAGAGCTGAGCCAATCTGAAGCCAGGAGCCAGGAACTTCTTCCGAGTCTCCCACACAGGTGCAGGGTCCCAAGATTGAGCCATCTTCGACTGCCTTCCCAGGCCACAAGCAGGGAGCTGGATGGGAAGTGGAGCAGCTGAGGCATGAACCGGTGCCCATATGGGCTACCAGTGCATGCAAGGCAAGGATTTAGCACTGAGCCATCATGCCAGGCCCATATTTCTTTATTTTAAAGGTCAGAGTTACAGAGAGAGAAAGAAAGCCAGAGCCAGAGTGAAATCTATTCATTGATTTTCTCCTGAGATTGCTGCAATGGCTGAGGCTGGGCAAGACAGAAGTCAGGAGCTTCTTCTGCATTCCCCATTCATCTTCTGTTGCTTTCCTAGGCCATTAGTAGGGAGCTGGATGTGAAATTGAGCAGCTGAGACATGAACTGGTGCTCCTATGGGATGCTGGTGCCACAATTACAGTCCCCTTGCCATCTTTATTAATGAATATTAATAAGTGCTCTTTTATTAAGAGCTTTCCCATGTGGCAGATATTGCTTTATGTAATTTCTATGCAAAAACTTACTAATTCTCTAAACAGTTCCAGAAAAATAATACTATAATTTTCAGATTAAAAAAAAAAAACTGACGGGTCCGGTGGCGTGGCCTAGCAGCTAAAGTCCTCGCCTTGAACGCACCAGGATCCCATATGGGTGCTGGTTCTAATCCCGGCAGCTCCATTTCCCGTCCAGCTCCCTGATTGTGGCCTGGAAAAGCAGTCGATGACAGCCGAAATCCTTGGGACCCTGCACCCACGTGGGAGACCCGGAAGAGGTTCTTGGTTCCTGGCTTTGGATCAGCACAGCACTGGCCATTGTGCTCACTTGGGGAGTGAATCATCAGATGGAAGATCTTCCTCTCTGTCTCTCCTCCTCTCTGTATATCTGACTTTGTAATAAAATGAATTAATCTTAAAAAAAAAATCAGGAGCTGGCATTTGGTAAAGCAGTTAAGATGTCCCTTCCCTACTGGAGTACATGTTCCCAATTCCAGCTGCCTGGACATGTGCACTATGGGAGACCACAGGCAACGCCTCAAGTAGCTGGGTCCCTCCCAACTGCGGGAGACCCAGACTGAGTTACCTGCTTCCAGCTACAGTTCAGTTTAGTCTTGGTTGTCGTGGACATGTAGGGTCATCTGTATGCCTGTTTTTCTATCTAATTAGGTAATCAAGACCAAAAAAAAAAAAAAAAAACCCCAAACTGAAGAAGAAAAAAAAAGAAAAGAAAAACCTGAGTCACACAGCAAGCGGGGCAGAGTATGATCAAACAGTTGTTAAAAGTTACACCTAGGCTTGGACTCTCGGCAGTCCAGGTCTGCAACTGTACAATAAACCTGTCTTCCTCTTGTCATGTGATGCCCATGCAATGTTCTTTCTGCTTGTGGGGCTCCTGCCCATCCCCCACCCTCACAGTTTCCTATCTGCATCAATTTTTTAACAACTTTCCATTATCCTCGAGTCATCTACACATGCATTTCTTTTCCAACATGAAAATACTTCTTTGTTTTCATTCTGGATATAGAAATAACATGAGCCTGTTCTATAACAATATATAAATAACATATATAATATATAAACATATAACATACATTTATATAATAATATATATGATATGATGTGATATAAATGTAAATATACAAAACAGAAGCTAAGAATCCAAACCATAATTTTTGTCACTGTGATAACTATGGCCAATATATTAGTATAAACTCCTGATATTTTTCTCTTTCTATGCAAATGCATAGCCACATCACTTTTTTAAGCTAAAAAATTGATATTTTCATTGATAAACACTAGTTGTTTTTATTACTATTTGCCAATCAAAAGGCAAATACATATTTAAATAAATTTGTATTTTTCTAATTACAGTGCTGTTATTTTTCCATAGAATAATAAATGTTATATTCTCTCTCTGGTGACCTATCTTTGTCTGCCCTTCCTGGTAGGTTATCCAACTTTTTACTATTGATTCGTATGAGCTCTTTATATAGGAAGAATATTAACTTCTGCTTACCATGTATATTGCAGAAAAATTTCCCTGAGTTGTTCCTATTTCAATGTTTTATTACCCTTCTGTCATACAAAAGTTTATAATTTAAATGTTGTCATACAATTTTTCCCTGTATTTTTTCTGTGCTTGATGTTCTATGGCCAGATTACTACTCAAGTCTGACATTTGGCTTTTACCATGAACTTATGAACCCATAGCCTACAGAAACTCGAACACCATAGCTAGTCAATGAGGCCTCTTTTTGGGCTACATCAATTTTGGCTTATTTTTAGTCTCTTTCTTCTCTCCATTCTTTCGGACAGGCAGACAGACACAGGTCTTTCACCTGTTGGTTTACTTCCTAAGTCCCTGTAATAGTCCAGGATGAGCAAGGCCAAGGCCAGGAGATGAGAATTCAATCAGGTCTTCCACATGAGTGGCAGGGACCATCACCTGCTGTCTCCCATGGTGTGCATTTGCAGGAATGCTCAACCAGAAGCGAGACAGCCAGACCCTCTGATACGGGATACAGGCAACTCTGCTGTGGCACGTGCCTACCTCTAGCCTCTGTCTTGCGAATAATCTATATTCTATTCAGTCACAACAAATTGCTAACCTGAATATGTGTATCATTTTTCCTTGTTGGTAAAAGTTAGGAGAAAAATTATACCAATGTTTTAACAGTGAACAGAGACATCCATGAAAAGAGAATGATGCAGTATTTTGAAATTAAGCCTTGGAAATCCTAAGCCTTCAAAATCACCCAGAGAACATATTGAGACCTTGTTTCAGGATTCCTATGTGCTCAGCTGAAACTGAGAAGACGGGAAAGGTCTGCAGGCCACATTATTCTGCCTTAACCTGGAAGCATTCAAGTGACATAACCTGGATCCTAAAGGCTTATACCTACACTCCCCTGGTCAGCCACCACGGCAGGCCAGGCATGTCCTGATGCTCACCCACAGCCTGTTCCACCCACTTCTCCCACTGCTTTGCTCAACCCATTCTCTCTCTCTATGGCCTTCTCCCATCTCAGCTGAACTCCAACCCATTTCCGAGTCTCAGCACAAAACCAGCTTCTGTTTTTCAATACCAACTAGGAAGCCAGTCAACACCTGCTTCTTGTCACTGCCATGCTTTCTAACCGTCTCCCAACACACATACACTCCTCCTCCCTCGGGATTCTGAGCATACATTGTCTCCTTGTCATCTTGGAGCCTTCTCCAGTGGCAAACAGAGGGCACGAAGTGCTTAGTAACTCTGGTGAATAATAGAGCAGTGATCATGCAGTCCAGTGAGGCATCACTGAAGCTACTACCTGAGCTCTGAAAAATATTTGGGAACTTCCTTGGAGAGCCGTGTTGGAGCTGGAGCAGCCCATGATCACAAATTAGGCCTTCCTTTGAATTCTTAGCAGCTCTGCCCTATCAGCTTAGTATTAGGGTTTGGGATGAGTTAACATCCTTAAGACCCAGTCTTTGCCCTGGAGCACACAATGAGCTACCAGGTACATGAGGCTACAGCACAGAGCTTGGCAGCCAGGACCACCACACCTGAACAAACAACACTGCTTCCTTCACCTTCAAGATAAGGCTGTGTGACTCAAGGCATTCAGCATTGCAGGTCACTAAAGACATACTATAATCTTTAGCTTCGGGCTTTGCTCATAGGCTCACTGCAAAGGGTTTGAACATCTGGAAAGACAAAGAGGGTCATACCTGAATGTTGACATCGGCCCCATTGTTTACTAGCAATTCCAGACACAAAGCACCATGGGTGGAGGCGGCAGCAAAATGCAAGGGGGTGAAGCCGTTGTTGTTCGGTTGGTTCACATTAGCACCGTAGTCAATCAGCTCACTAACCACAGAATCCTGGCCATTGTAGCAGGCGATGTGAAGTGCTGTATTTCCATAGACATTGATTTCATCAATCTGCAGAGAGTCCGACACGGGGTAATTAAAATCCCGGAAGCCAATGTTCTCCATTCCCCGCAGAGGTAAGCAACAGCAAAACTGGAATATGACAAAAGGAGACCTGCGGAGAAAGAGCTGGAGGCTTCATGCCGTGGAAGATATTTTACGTCTGAGAGAGAAGGTATAAAGGACAAAAGGCAAAACTGCTTTCAGTACATCAGAAAATTCATCAGCTGGGGTGGGGTGGGAGCAAGAGCCCTGAATTCAAAAGCTGGGACACAGGGAACAGAAAGAGTGAGAGAGGGAAAGGAGGTAGTTGTGGACACAACACAAGTCAGGCTCAGCCCCCCACTCCAGGCTTGCTCTGCTGATGGTTCTTAGAGTAGAGTGTTGATGCTGCCCTGAGGCATCCTTCATTCAGTTCTCGCTTATTTTCTGAAACCAACCCTGGGTACTGAGCATCACCAATATGGTCTCAGTATAACAACTTGGTTTTCCTTCCCTGCAGGAGCAGAAAGTGCCAGAGTCTCACCAGTGTTCCTGTTCTGCCAGTTGAGGGAGAACAGGAAGAGACCAGCTTAGCTCAGTATCAGCCACTTGTGTTTGTGCCATTTGTTCACTTCCTCTGTGTGCTGTGAATTCAAGGCCAAGGTTCTGAGCATAGGATGGCCAACCCTAGCCAGCCTCTGACTGAATAACGTGCATCCCATAGAACATGTACCTTCACATGTTTCTCTATCAATATGGATGTATGATTAGTCTGTTACCGCGTTTCCAATATTTGGCCTACACTCCTGCTGCCTGAAATCAGCTGTATGTGGAAACTCAGACAAGTAGCAAATGTACTTCCCCCTCTCATTACAACAAAAATGCATGCAGAATTTAGTTTCAAAGCACAGAAAACGCACACATACACACAGAGCCCATGTAATGATGCACTCAGCATAGCTCACCTCCACCCCTAGATTCAGGAGATGTTTGACCACATTGATCTGTCCGTGGGAGGCTGCAGCATGCAGGGGAGTATAACCCTTCTTGTCCTTGCAGGCTACTTCTGCACCATGGTTAATGAGCAATGCTACAACATCCAGGTGGCCTTGGCAAAGAAAGCAGCAGAGAACATCATTCATCTTAACAGGACAATGTGACAATGCACTTTACCTAAATCATCACCATTAACTGCAAGAGCCACCAGTGGTTTGTGGAGGTATTTATGAAAAGCTGGTTTATGGTGAACACCCAGCAAATGTTTATTCTGCACCTACTATGTGTCAGGCATCATGCCAATACTGTGGGAAGAAAAGGAGTGATCGATGCACAAGCCTCCCCTTGAATGAGAGGGGACAGTTGTCACTGTGTCAATAAATAATGCTGAAGTTCTGCAAGGTGTTAGCATCCTGGCCAAAGGTAGTTTGTGCTAAAATGAAAGTAATGGGGCCAGTGTGTGGTGTAATAGGTTAAGTTCTCTGATGCTAGCATCTCGTAAGAGTGCTGGTTTGGTTGGTATCCCAGCTGCTCCATTTCCAATCCAGCCCCCTAATAAAGTGTGTGGGGAAGTAGTAGATGATAGCCAAGTTCTTGGGACCCTGTACTCATGTGGGAGATCTATGAAGCTCTTGGCTTTGCTGTGGCTAAGCCCTGGCTGCTGCAGCCATCTGGGGAGTGAACCAAGGCATGGAAGCTTTCTGTGTCTCTCCTCTCCAACTCTGCATTTGCTTCAGGAAGGTCTCTGATTTTGTTTATCATTTCTTTTTTTAAAAAGATTTATTTATTTTTACTGGAAAGGCAGATTTACAGAGAGAAAAAGAGACAAAGATCTTCCATCTGCTGGTTCATTCCCCAAGTAGCCACAACGGCCAGAGCTGAGTCAATCTGAAGCCAGGAGCCAGGAATTTCTTCTGAGTCTCCCAGATGGGTGCAGGATCCCAAGGCTTTGGGCCATCCTCAACTGCTTTCCCAGGACACAAGCAGGGAGCTGGATGGGAAGCGGCGCTGTTGAGATTAGAACCAGCAACCATATGCGATCCCAGTGTGTTTAAGGATCTTGGCCACGAGGCTACCATGCTGGGCCCTCTTTTTCATTTCTTCAGCGACACATTGGTCATTCAAATAAATAAATATATAACATGTTGTTTAACTTCATGTTGTTGTAAATTTTTTATTTTTCTCTGTGTTGTGGATTTTCTTTGTGGCTTTTCATTTACAGGGATGTATAGTAACTGTAGTAGAGACTATCACATACAGATGTGAAGATGCAGTACAGTGTGCATCTCTACTTCCAAATCAAAGACGGACTCCCAATTAAGCCATTGAATGTATCTTGACAAGAGGATGCTGGACCCTTTGCCAATGCCCATGCCTACAATGTCAGGATACACTTAAATAGCAGAATGATGGACTTATGACTGACTGTGAAGGACTACGCTATTGTAATGACATGTGAGAAATTAGTGTGGAGGAGGGGAAGGGAAACCCTGGAGCCCATAGAACCGTATCATGGAATAATAAATAATTTTTTTAAAGATGAAAAAAAAATACCTTTGAAATCAATCACCACTCCTCACTGAAACCTTTAAAAACAACAATTTGATATGGAAAAACTTATTAAAGAAAACATGAATTAATCTGAATGATTACGGGTTTTGTTAACTCATGAAATTGCTGCTGCTTAACTGGCTTTTGACTCATAAAAACGGCGGATTCATATGGCTCAACTGAAAAGCACTCTCAATGAGGACTGGCACATGAGCATCGAAGCAGGAAACCCTTCTAAGCTTCATCTGCTGTTTCCCAGAATACTTCAATCTGTCTCAAAGATCAGAATAGAGAGTGACAGATGTATCTGGATTTTATTTTGTGGCTGAATATTGTTCAATGCTTGAGGGCTATTGCTCTTAACACATCTGCTTGATAACAGATGGGTGCAAGGCCAAGAACTGACTCCAGGACTCAGAATTACCTAAAAGAGAGAGTTACAGGGAGAATAGTGCTGGTTTATTTTATTAGAATTTGACTCTTTAATCTGTGAAAACTTTACAGAAAAAAATTTTTTTTCAATTGTTAGCTCCTTTATATAAGTTCCTTGTCCTGATTTTGTCTTATTAACCCCCATAGAGAGTCACTGATATGTTGTTTCCAAATTATATCCAGATGACATAAAACATATCGATATCTTGATAACTTCTTTAAAGATATTCACCCAAATGTTTTAACTATGTGTCAGCAAAGAACAGCATGGTAGCTTAGCAAGCTAATCCTCTACCTGTGTTGCTGGTATCCCAGTACTGGTTCATGTCCCAGTTACTCTACTTGAGGCCTGGGAAAGCCACAGAGGATGGCCCAGGTCCTTGGGGGTCCTGTAATACGTGAGAGACCCTGAAGAAGTTCCTGGCTTCTGATCAGCTCAGCTCCAGCCTTTGTAGCCATCTGGGGTGTGAACCAGCAGATAGAAGAAATCTCTCTCTTTCCTTTCTCTCCTTCTCTATGTTAATCTGCCTTTCAAGTAAAAATAAATAAATTTTTTAAAAAATAAAGTAACTTGAAACTCCATATTCCTCAAGTCATAGAGTGCATTTTGCTTAAATATCTAGGTCCTGGCAAATGTTCCTGGGTTCCATGCAGGTACCATGCAGACAAAAAAACGTGCTTTAGTCAGCTCAAAATCTCATGTCACTTAAAAAAACTATAATGTTGGAAAAAAAATCTGATGCTCCTAAAATTTTAAGACTCTTCAGTTTTTAAGCCCATGATAGATTCATTCAGATCGATCTATAGTCAAATAATTTAGTTCACCCTCCTCTAATCTACTCTTTATTTCCTCTCTACAATTAATGACATTTTTGATTTTTAAACATATTTATTTCAGTGGCTACAACAAAAGATCACAAGGCAGAAGGAAGAGAAGTAAGAGAGAGAGAGAGAGAGAGAGAGAGAGAGAGAGAGAGAAGGGGAAAGAGAAAACCAAAGAAAAAAGTTCTTGTTGACTGATTCACTCCCCAAATGCCTGCAAAGCTTGGGGTTAGACCACCTGGCTGAGGCCAAAACAAGGAATTAAGTCCAAGTCTTCCATGTGGGTGGCAGAAGCCCAGCTGAGCTACCACAGTTGGTGTCTACATGAGCAGTACACTGGGTCAGGAGCCAGAGTCAGAGCAAAACCAGGCACTGCAGTGTGGGACACAGGCATCCTAGCCACCATCACCTTAACCACTAGGCTAAATTCTTGACCCAACGTTCATTTTTAACGTCACTGTAAAAAAAAAAAAGTATATATATATGATTGTTTAAAAAGATTCAATGGGAGGGAAAAAGAAAAAAAAAAAAAAAGGAAATCAAAGGAAACCAAAATCACCCATGGTCACAATTGCTGGAGATAATCAGTTAAGATATTGATCTATGACATTTCCCAAATTCGTTTTTACTGCACAGTTTTTTTTCCCCGCAAAATGCCATTTAAGTTGTTTTATGACCTGCTATCGCTTTATTACAGAACCTTCCTATGTTAATAAACACCCAAGGAGACATCCCTGGTCATTTCAGAGTGTCTCCTTGTAAAGTTCTTCCAGGTTCTGCCAAAACACTGTCCTGCAGATGGGCACTCGGGTGTCCACTGCTAGATGCTGATCAAATCCTGGCTGCTTTGCTGGTGGCAGGATGTTCTCCGATCAGCAACACTCATGACCGGCCTTGGTGCTTCACTTCCCATAAGCCAAGCCTGAGAACAAGTCTGTAAGGTCTTTCATATGGCAGAGGAATTGGTGTCCACAAAAAAAGCGAAAAGAAAACATAGAAATGTGATCTCTTCCTTGACCTCTTCCACTGAAGGTGCAAAACTAGGACAGCAAGCCCCCACTTGAACAGTGATGGACAGGACAACCCAGGGTGCTCTGTCCTGCCACTTCCCACCTAAGAAACAGCCAGAGGTTGTCTTTCCTCCTTCTGCTTTTTTCCAAAATATTTACAAGCAAAAAAAGACAAATGGAATTTGAGTCTTTGGCTAGCCAGCCATCTTTAGTATTGCTGCTGTAACAAGTTTAAGTATTTAGTTTTTCGACCCAAACTAAAACCCATTCAAAGGGGTTCATGCCATGATTCATCCCTCCTCCTCTTTGTAGGATAGATAACTCTCTGACAAAGCTATTGTTCAACTAGAACATTCTATAAGAGCCAGTCAAATGCACTGACTCTTGGAAACCAAGCTTAAAAAGAAGTCAGACTTGTCCCCAGGCAACACCTCCACAGTCAGTGAAGATGCCTATGTCGGGCCCGGCGCGGTGGCGCAAGTGGTTAAGTCCTCGCCTTGCACGCCCGGGATCCCATATGGGCGCCGGTTCTAATCCCGGCAGCCCTGCTTCCCTTCCAGCTCCCTGCCTGTGGCCTGGGAAAGCAGTCGAGGACGGCCCAAAGCTTTGGGACCCTGCACCCGCGTGGGAGACCCGGAAGAGGCTCCTGGCTTCGGATCGGCATAGTATCGGCCCGTTGCGCTCACTTGGGGAGTGAATCATCGGATGGAAGATCTTCCTCTCTGTCTCTCCTCTGTGTATATCCGCCTTTCCAATGAAAAAATAATAAAAATAAATCTTTAAAAAAAAAAAAAAGATGCCTATGTCTTATAAGTTTATCTCCACTTTGCTTTCCATGAATGAGATCCTTACCCATATATGCCGCCCAGTGCAGAGCACGCCGGTCCTTCTTGTCAAATGCATTGATATTTGCCCCTTTGGCCAAGAGTAAATTAACCATCTGAAAGACAACCAACAATGAAATCTAGCATGCACCTGCAATGGGTTCCTCTTTGCCCATAAGTGATCTGAGTCAAACTCAAACAGCACATCAGGGAAGTGAAGCTCTAACAAAGTGGCAAGGCGATGCCACTGAAGACATGGGGCATGTGTGTCAGAGCAAGCTAAAGGGGCAGCCATGGGGGCTCCACATTTTAAGAATAAGCACAATTGTCTGTTTTGTATACAAGTATTATCACATTTCCTAAAGGTGTTAGTACTAAGATCAGGCCCCACTTATGTCTAGGAGAGTCTGTGGGGAGTACTCCAGTTCCTAATGATGAAAACACCCACCTCCACGTGGCCATTCAGCGCAGCGTGGTGCAGAGCTGTACGGCCTCCTCGGTCGGAGACGTTGACACTGCTCAGCAGGGGAATGATCACCTCAGCACACTTGACAGCCTTATTGGCTGCTGCCACGTGCAGAGGGGTCTGCCAGTTCTTATCCCTCGCATTGACATCAGCGGAGTGCTTGATCAACACTTGAACTGCTTCCTACAATAGAAGCAGAATTTGCAGGAGTCACTGACAAACACTCAACCAGGGACTCTCCAAGTGTCAGATGCTTCACCAGACCCTAGAAATCATGATGAGTGAGGAAGATTCCTTCTTCCCATGAGCTGGCTCCAGCCTAGGAAGGTAATAATGTGGTAAAAGATCAAGAGTAACATAGATTAAGACATACATTTTGGTCAGACCAGGAGTCCAGGCATATTTCTAAAACCAAATAAATGTTTCAATTTGAAGATCTCCTTCTATGGTACAAGGTATTTTTAGATCAACTGAGAGCACTCAAATGCAGTATGAATACCAATGCAATTGATAATTGGGGTGGGGGGGTCATAGCTGTTTGTCAACAAACCTATAAATTTCCCAAATCAAAAGGTGTCAAAGCCCTTCAGACATTCGTGGATTCACTTAGAAGTCTTTGATTCCCTCTGCCAATACCTTAACCTTTGGTGTGTCATCACTAAGCAGACAAGGGGAATGACATATTTGTTACCACCTGTTCTACCTCATCCTGAAGCTATGAAATTGCCTACCTTTTCCCAACCTCTTCCAGTTATACTAACTTCCTTCACTTTTTTTTTTAAGATTTATTTTATTTTTATTGGAAAGGCGGATATACAGAGAGGAGAGACAGAAAGGAAGATCTTCCGCCCGATGATTCACTCCCCAAGTGAGCACAACGGATCCAAAGCCAGGAGCCTCTTCTGGGTCTCCCGCGGGTGCAGAGTCCCAAAGCCTTGGGCCATCCTCGACTGCCTTCCCAGGCCACAAGCAGGGAGCTGGATGGGAAGAGGGGCTGCCGGGATTAGAACCAGTGCCCACATGGGATCCCAGGCATGCAAGGTGAGGACCTTAACCACTGCGCCACCGCGCCGGGCCCAACTTCCTTCACTTTTTAAAAAAGATTTCTTTCTTTTATTGAAAAAGCAGGTCAGATCTAGAAAGAGAAGAAAAGACAAAAAGATCTTCCATCCACTGCTTCACTCCCCAAGTGGCCGCAATGGCTGGAGCTGAGCTCATTCAAAGCCAGAAGCCTCTTCCAGGTCTCCCACGTGGGTTCAGGGTTCCAAATCCCTGGACCATCCTCTGCTGCTTCCCCAGGTCTCAAGTAGGGAGCTGGATGGGAAGTGAAACAGACAGGACATAAACCAGTGCCCACAAGGGATCCCAGCACTTGATGGTGGAGGATTAGGCAATTGAGCATTGAGCCAGCATTCCCCCACAACTTCCTTTGCTTCTGTTGAGTTGATTTTACCTTTATTGAGCCCCTCACTTTCTATTTTCTTTTTATTGACTCAGCTCCTGGGTATCCTGACTATGACTCTCAAGCCTGCTTGTACAGTGATAACACGTGGCGAGCTCTTAAAATGAAGGTGCCTGATCCTGATTACAATTTTGGTAGACCTGAGCATTTTGTAAGCGTCTCTGGAGATGGGACAGGTTTGAGGATATTCTTCTGTTTAGTCAAGGCAATGATTCAGCTCCTCTGCTACTTCTAGAGAGTTCCCTAGGAACAGTAAGTAGGGCTCCTTTATGGACATCTTGTCAGAGTCACACTGAAAAGCCGACAAAGAGCATCAGCGTCAGCTCACTCTCTTTCTATCCTTCAACAACGTCATGTTTACCCTTGTCTGCCTGGGATGGTTAATTTCAGGTGTTGACTGATTAAGGAATACCTAGAAACTTGGGGAAGGGTGTGTCTGTGAGAGTATTTGCAGAACAGACCCGCATGTAAGTCTGAGTAGGTAGCTGAGGAAGATTGGAGCACCATCAGGTGGACACCCTCACTCAGCTGAGGGCCTGCACAGAATAGAGAAGGGGTTGGTCCCTTGCTTGGAGAACTGGGAGATGCTCATCTCTAGCTTTGGACATCAAAACTCCCAGCTTGCTGAACTTTGGATTCCAGGACTTAGCAGCAGTGACTGCCTCATGGGAACTCAGATTTTTGCCCTCAGACTCAGAGTTCTACCCTCAACTCCCCTGGTTCAGAAACCTTGGATGTGGAATGTGCCTGGCATCCCACAGTTTCCAAGCTGCAGAAGATCTGTCATATTCAATCATCTAAGCTAATTCCCATTACTATTCATCAATTCCCTTTTACACATCTACCTACATCTGCTATTAGTTCTATCTCTTCTTGATCCCTGATGGACAACCTAGTTTACCATACAAGCATATGACAGTGCTCTAGATAGAACTGGCACACAGCAACATTAACATGATTATCACAGACATAAATGATGGAATAAGGATGTTCCATGAATCAGTAATAACCACACACTGAGATGAATGGCTAATGTAGAAAGCAGATGGACAGCAAAAAAGAAACAAACTTTAAATTAGACACTATAGTTAAAATAAATAGTATGCTGATGAGGCCCATTCCAATTAGATGTTATAAACAAACTGATAATGCCCAACAAACCAATTTGTTTAAATTACCGAAAGAATACATACATACATATGTTACCCACTCTCAGAAACTGACAATACTACTAAACACTGCATGAACTCATTCTATAGTGAAACATGTATACAAGCATTATTTTCTTTTCAAGTTTTGTTTGAAGGGTGGGGAACAGGGAAAGTGAAAGTAAGAAAGAAATAACAAAGCCCTCCTCTACTGGTTCACTCCCCAGAAGCCCACAACATCTGGACCAGGGCCTCAGGTAGGTCGTCCACATGAGTGCCAGGAACCAAGTACCTGAGCCATGACTGTTGTTTCCCAGGGTCTGCATTAATGGGAAGCTGCATTCTGAAGCCAGAGCTGAAAATCAAACCAAGCTAATCCAATGTAGTATTAGCACATGCTAATGTGCTGAATACCTGGCTCCTCTACATGCATTGTTAATGTCCACAAACCACATACAAAGCCCTGATAAAAATATGGAATGCTGCCAGAAACAACAGCCAGGCTCTAGCCTAAAAACTAATTAAACAATAAATAAGCAAGTGAAAAAGTAATGGCATAAATTGTAATACGAGGCTTGATATTAGAATAAGTAAATTTTTATGAACTGGATTTATAACCATAACATGGGAAGAAAATATTAAAACCTCCATTGACTTTATTTATATTTATTTATCTATTTAAAAGAATTACAGAGAGGGAAAGAGAGGTCTTCCATTGCTGGTTCACTCCCCAAATGGCTACAGCAGACAGGGTTGGGTCAGGCTGAAGCCAGGAGTTTCATCTGGGTCTCACATACGGGTGCAGGGACCCAAGAACTTTGGGCCATCCTCCACTGCTTTTCCAGGCACATTCAGCAAGGAGCCAGATGGAAACTGGATGAGCTGAAATGCACAATACAACAACAGCCTGCTAGATTGATACATAGATTCTAACACGGCAGCTTTTCAAAAAGTTCATGGAATAGGCATACTGTGAAAAATTGTGCACAGATTTCAAATATTTGTGCACTGAAATAAACCATGGTTAATTGCATTTTCCATGAATTTTCTTAAAGTATCTTCATGTATACCTTTAAAGTAAAAGAACCCTAAAATGGTCCAGATTTATGCAAGGAATCCACAAACTAAGGACAAGACTGGAGCAGGCATTTGGTGCGCTGGCTATCACCACTCGGTTTGTCAACATCCCATACTAGAGTCTGGTTTGAGACAGCTATTCTACCTCTGAGCCAACCCCATCAAATGCATACCCTGAAGGACAGCTAATTCTGATTGAGGTACTTGATTCCCTGACACCCACATCAGAGGCCTGAATGCAGTTCTGGGCTCCTGGCTTTCGCCTCACCCAGCCTTGACTGTTGCAGGCATTTGGGGAATCCATCAGCAAATGGAAGACTCCTTTCTGTCTCTTGTATTTCCATCTCCTTGACTGCATTTCAAAAATGCCTTCCAAGTAAAATTAAAATGTGAAGATAAATATATTGATAACAATGCAAGGACAAATTATGTGGGAGTCCCCAAGTTGAAGCTATTTACTACTCTTACTGAAAGCTTTGTGTTGCCCAAATCACAAGGTAAAGGCAACAATAAACTTAATCAGCTCTGACAAGAGTTTGGCCAAAATGGAGAAAAACCATCGGAGGACTACTAGCTACATGGTTAGGGAAAACAGTGATGAACAATGAGACTCACTCTAAGTTCAGTGCACCTTGAAATATTAGCTAGTTTATAAATAACAGGAATAGATGAGATTCACATTTTAAAGACACATATTCAAATATCTTTGCAGATAGATAATCTAAAATATTGGCAATAACAATCACAAAGCAATATTCTAAAAAAAGGGTAGTGGCCTTCTCGCATATCTGCAGCACAATAACAATGCATGGTTACTTGAATTCCTTTGTTTTACAAGTGATTTCATCATGCTGGTACAGATTCTTGCTTTGCACTAAATACATAAACTCGTGACAGACTCAACAACAAAAAATAAAATATACAGAATAACTTCACAGAACTATAGTACATGAATATAACAATTAATTCATGAAAAAGTTTTATTTTAAAACTGACAGCTTTGCCCAGACTGAGGGAGTCTACTGTGACTGTGGTAGAAGCTGGTCCAGCTACACTTTCTGCACAACCAAGTGAGGTACATTTGGGGAACTGCAAGAAGGACAGGGTGAGGATGGAGAGGGGAAAGGAGGGGAAAGGAGATGGTCCCTGCACTCCGGGACACAGGTGCACATCCGGGCTGACACAGGGGCAGCAGGCTGCAAGAGGAAAAAGCTAACAATGCAACAAAAGTAAGGCAGGAGGAGCAGGCTTTCCAAGCTGGGTAATCAACAATTTAGACCTCCAGGGACTCCTTAAAATCATGAAGAATATTAGACTTGGCACAAGCTATGGCATGGAGTTCCTGGCCAGGCACATCCGTGCAAAAGGCAAAGTGATTCTGACAGACATTTGGGTCACATCTAAACCATTAGTAAAGAAAAGGTTCAAGTTCATTATCAGATTGGGAGGGCGGGTGGACACAGAAGAGGTCACAGTCTCTATGAAACCTCTTTTCC